TGCTGTGAACTGATTGTTGGGATTGAGATGTGTACATGTATGTGTACTACCAAGTACCAATACATATGCTATCCAACTTTACGAGGGGCGAAAGTTAGATATGTGGTAGAACAAAACCCGAAACGACTTTTTGAGAGAGCATTTAAACAACAAAAGTTAAGACTAAAGCTCGGTTTATAGTTCATGTCATGTCATGCTAATTCGAGTTTTTGATAGGCCAATCAAAAATATTACCGCAACAATTAAAAATTTCAACCAATCAAAAGTCAGATTGGGAGTATGGCATGATGATGACATGAACTACAAACCAATTACTAAAGTCTTTCTTCCAATGTCTGTAAGCAACCTCCAGTGCGCAGCCCGAGACAAGGACACACTCAATTTCTAATTTTTTCCGAATTGACCAGGCTCCTACAATTACCACCCCTGTGATGAGAATGACCAAATGTTTCTTACATATTTTGTATTATTTGACACCAAGTTTTTTAAGTATTTCCAAATCCCCCATTACCACCAGGGCCAGTGGGGTTAGCTCTTTTTAGGAAATCTTGGACTTTAAAGCTGTATTTACTACGAAGAAGTAATTTTTAGCCTCCATACAAATTTCAGCTGAAGACAACAACTCGGCATGGGCTACCCAGATAGGGCCCCCCAGACGAAAATGTTCTCGATTTAAATTCATATTAATCCATTATGAGCCATTATTAGCAACCTTTCTATGATAATTGTAAAATTTTGGTGTATAATGCTGCATCCACTTTGGTAACCCCCACCGGTCAATTACTTGACCAATTTCGCCCATGTTCGAACTAGTTTCCTAACTTTGCTTAATATCCATAAGGTAAAAATTTCAAGTCAATCGGTTCAGCCGTTTTGCCTCTACTCTGTTCACAGACATGACGGTTCCGTAAGGCCTGGCTCGGGTTAAAAACTTATTATAATCAAATTCATAATCGGATTATGGTTGCAAGAGTTCGCACCCAATTCCAGGTGTATAACGACCGATCTAGTAGATCTTCGTGGCACAGATGCCGAACGAGCATACGTAACCAAAATGGATACATATTTACATAAGGACAGATGTGTTCTTGTATCTAGTTTATGTAATTCATTGTTTTCTTCGTAATACTGGTTCACCTAAGATACTTATGATGATCTTTATTCGTCAGCAAATTATAATGTCTCCCGTTCACGAGGAGAAAGTGAGCAGATAATTGCGAAAAGTTGTTCCAACTTGCACAAAGATTGTAATTACGAACATGATTGATTCTGATTGGATACTCACTAGTGCAGCAAAATGAGCGAGTAAAAATAGAAGAGAATAATTGAAGTCACAAGAAGGGAAAGCACCCTACAAGCAATTTTGAACTCATTAAGTTACATATGCACCTGTCCTATTTTATTTTCCCACATGAAAAGCATGTGGATACTCTCGAGATACATGAAGCACATCGCTTTTAAGGAAGCCACTCCGCCAGTTGCGAATTTCACTCGTCACCACTCGAGTGAAATTCAAATAAATACAATTTTCTTTTCCCAAAATCTCAATCATTTGCGTCACTGAGCGAGTAAATCAATTTTCCTGATCTTGAGAATACAGGATGATAAAAATGTGAATAAAATAATGTCGATCAAGTGTGTATGCCATCCATTCGTTCAGGATCAAGAATTTATTCTATATGTGTGCGACCTACTTTGTTGGTGGCTAAAAATAGGCTGTGGACCTTCATAATTCCCTTCGTGTACTCAATTCGAGGCTATATATAGACCTCGTTCCAACTTTCTCCTCTCCCCCCAATCCTCCTCCCTACGCACTTGCCTCCGTCTGCCTAGTCTCCACTTGGTACGTACGTACGTACGCTTGGTGCTGCTTATGCTAGGTCCGCTCCTTTGTGTGTGTGCATATGCGTGACGCAGTTTGACGAATGGGGGCAAACCCACTTTCTCGCAGGTATCTCTGCTCCTCCTCATCATCTAAAAACTTTCACTCGATGCCACAGTTGTTTGTTCTCATGTGGCCAAAATAGTTTCAGCCTGGTTCTCCTCCACTAATGCAGATTGTCTCTGTATTTTCACCGCATCACTAATTCCACCCTGGCTTTTGTGCACCACTCGCTCCCTCGCTCACTTTTCCCTCTCCAGTAGAATGAAATTCACAAATAAGCGTACACGTATTTAATCAAGAGAATCACGCCACGAGGTGGATTGATTATTATAAGCAGACAATCAGCATGAGGAAAGCTTAATGAAGAGTGAAACTTCACCTTGATCCAGATACTAAATAGATACATATGCATATGGGGTGGTAATAGTCTTGTGCAATCCTGTGAGTGGCCAAATGTAGAGAGAAAGTGAGGGGGAAAGTTAATACATACCGCTAAAAACCTGTATATGTCGCAAGCCCAGCAGCCGCAGCAAGGGTGTAGGCTTTACATTAGCGGTGAAAGCCCTCTTACATCGAGCTGTTCGTGTAAAGATTGTGTTTCATAGGATCATCATACCAGCAGAGTAAATATTTTGCATTGGCAACTAACCCTAAAGTAATAACATAGGAAATGTGCGCACTATTGTACACCATTTCTCCTTCCGTCCTTTCACTTAGAGACGGAAACCTAGTCGCGAATTTCAAACACGGTATCTAAACGGCATCGTTTGTTTGCCTTGCATGTCAAACATGTTCATATATCATACGTACATCAGGATATCAAAATCATATACTTCCCTCGAGTGAAAGAAAACCACAAGCATTACCGAGCTCAGGTGAGGCATGAGTGAAGGTTTGATCTCAGATCTGTCACTAATTGGCATGTTTCAAAAACATCTATCTCCAACCAACCATCCCTCTTGCGATTGGTTAGTTTGCGGCTTTAACCCACGTCGTCGTCGTGTTTAAACAAGATCCCAGCTTCGCTCGCAACGAGATGATCGACAAGTTCAATTCCATTGTTTAGTTTTGAAATTCAGCCAGTTTTTCCAGTTCCAAATCACAACCAAGTTGCATGCATACATCGTATAGGCAGCCTCTTTTGGCAAGTCCGTTCCATCCACAGGCATACAACTATCTGGGAACAGTGGCCAGTCATGCATGCGAAAAAAGATGTATATATTTTATCATTCTTTGAGGAATCACCATCGATTGGGGTGAGTCGCACTGGTGTAAAGTTGAAATGGCAAGTGTGTAGGATGTTGAGAACCGAGTTGAGAATGTTTTAAGATCACTTTATTTACGCTAGAGTTGGGGACTCGATTGAATTCATTCAGGTGGAATGACTGTATGAGAACTCCTCCAGCAAGACTGCATAGGCTCGACATTAACGACCAAGAAACGGAGAAAACGGAAGGAAGCCCTTCGACTCTGAGACGGGATGGCTTGTTACTCGCCTCTCAATTCACGTACGTAATACGTATACCCCGGCTGCGTGAGGAGAAGAACGTGGAGCCACATAGGCCAGAGGGGTTTGGTTTCCGAGAAAGTTGGGCACTTGCTGATCTCTTGTTGATTTGCTTTCTCCGTGAGCGATGATGTTATCAATAGTATCACCACATCACAGAATCTTTGCATAATATTGAGCATAATGCTTAAAAAGGGTCTTGCAAAGGCCTCTTTTGCAATGTAAGTAATTGCGAAAGTAGATTTTATAATGATCAGATTTCAAAGTCGGGACGAAATCACTGACGAAAATGACCTTTGAATTTACTTTGAAAGGCAATGTTAAAAAGTACAAAAATCACCTCCACCGAGACGACAATATGATTGCGAGTATGACAAAAAAAAAGTTTTTTTCCCTGAAAGCGTTCAGTTGTATTTGAGTTTGAGGTGGTTTCTTCGCTTTGTCTGTTCAACACATCCACAAGTTTTTAGGTAAACTAAAATACATAAAATAGAATCTTCTTTGAAGGGATGTGCTCAACCGTTTGAATTGGTAAGTTTATTTTGTCTGATTGTTGGAAGCCAAACATAAAACTTTTGACGGTGAGACTTTTCTTATCTTTGGAACAACAGTTTTTCAAGACATAACTTTAAGAGATGAAGCGAATTCTCGTTTTCCAAAATTTTGAAATAATGCGAGATTGCAATGATATGAAAGTTTACTTTAAATATTTGAAATTATGGCAAGATGAAGATGAAACTATGTACATGCACGTACAAGGATTAAATAAAAGTGAAAGTCGCATGAAATGTCAAAGTTTCAACCGCAGAAATCGGAAGTACATGCGTACTTACTATACACGAGGACTTGAGAGAGTGTTTATACAGGGTTTTCATCAGCGTTATAAATTAAATAACATGGATGTCGTACGGTTTATTATAAACAATTGGATGCATGCACACATTTGCATGACTATAGTGATAGTCGGTTAATTAGTTAGGTTAGAAAACTACTTTATTCCGTGGCACACTTCCCTCCAGTCGTCGTTAACCAGTTTGCTGTATTCATTAAGTGTTTTGAATGTCAAAAGTTCAATTTGCCCTTTTGTACGTACATAAATGAGTGTTTAGCTGTTGCATGTCGGCATAAAGTGTATAATACGACACCAATGCGGAAATATATGTGTAGTAAACCAAGTCATTTCGGAAATAACCAGTCGGAGATTTGGAACTCTTGATAAGGGAAAGTCAGCAATGCAAATCATGTAAAAGTGAGAAATGGGGTCGGAGATATGCCCATTGGCCAAACTTGTAATATTTCATGTTTGGATTTGCATGACCTGACCTGCGAGTGAGACTGTTTGATACGTCAGCCATTTAGAATTTGGGCCATAAACTTGCTTGTGCCAGGCCAAAACTAATGGTGACCAAGTGGAGAAATGTAGACTAGAGAAATGCCTCCGACTGCGAAGTGTGTATGACGGGATGCATCAATCAATCTTTTCTCTCCTCGGCTGTGCGAAACACGATATATCTTCGTCAATAAGGTAAAACCAACGTACTTGTTTGCATTGATGACTATGTCAAGGTCTTACTGCAATGCTCATGTAAAAAATAATCCATAACGTCGTCAATTGTAAACAATTATGAACCATTTATTGACTCTCTTGAAAATAAAATTTATGTATACATAACTGCATAGGTTGTAAATCTTTCTTTGGTATTTAAAATGGAATAAATATCTGAGCACTGCTACGAGAATAAAGCTACATACATTACCGGAGAGCTACTACTGTTGGATTGTTTGCCTTTCTACTAGTTTTCGAAACATTCCATTTTCAATGGTCATTAAATCCTCGTAAGCACCAACTTCAACAAATTTTCCCTCGCTCAGAACGGCAATATTATCTACGAAGAAAGACAAAGACTTGTACAAATATCTTCTTGTGTACCGAACGTGATAGTTTTGAGATTGAGCTCAAGATGGAAAATACCTGCATTCCGGATCGTTGAAAGCCTATGTGCTATAGAAATGACCTATGTACATAATATATTTTTAGATTTATTTTACGTCAATTGCTTAATAATTATGTGCATATATTAAGTATACGATAACTTACAGTCCGATTTTTGGCAACACGTTCCAACGCTTCCTGAACTAAATGCTCACTCGATGCGTCCAAGGCACTGTAAGCAACAACAAGCAGAAAAATTATATTGTTAGAATAGGCAACATATGTTATTTGTTAGTGTTACTCACCTAGTTGCTTCATCAAAGAGGAGAATTCGAGGGTTCTGCAATTCAAAACAAAATATGGGACAATAAATCAGTGACTGGAAAGAACCACAGATCTCGGATTTCTGCTTTCCTAAAAATTACCTTAATTAACGCCCGTGCAATAGCAATTCTTTGCCGCTGTCCTCCGCTCAGCATAATGCCTCTCTCACCGACTACTGTATCAAACTTTTGAGGAAACTTCAAAATAAAATCCAGGGCGTTTGCTTCTTGGGCAACTTCATGAATCCTTTCTTCAGACACTTCTTCGGGATGCATAGCCCCATATAAAATATTATCTCTAATTGAGCAAGAAAAAAGTATCGGCTCCTGCGACACAGTTCCGATTTGTTGCCTCAGAAAATGGGGATCCAGATCAGAAATATTTGTCCCGTCAATACTTATAACTCCTGAAGTTGGATCATAATACCGAAGAAGTAGAGATCCTGATAATAAAAAGCTTTGCAATTATTCAAACTAATTCACAACTCTGGAGTATTACGTTAAATCTCTACAAACCTAACGTGGATTTCCCAGACTGTAAACATACAACATTGCAATTAGTATAATTTAAAAACATTACTACGAATGCATTTTAAGCTGTAATTGTTTTGCTTACACCGCTAGCTCCCACGATTGCTAGTATACTGCAATGATATGTATGTTTATGAATTAACTTACATAAATAAAAATCTGCTATAAGTCCGTGTCATTTCTTGTTGCATAATGTGCAGATTAATAAAATAATAGCTTACGAGCCTGCAGGAATGCTCAGATTCACGTTGGAGAATATCGGGGCGTCAGCTCTGGTTTGATATGCAAACGACACGTTCGTAAATTTAATATTTCCTTCTAATTCCTTCATTACTATTCCTCCTAAAATTCAAAACAAGAAAATGTTATTGAGTTTAAGTGGTATTAATGTTTTATAATATTTGAAAATTACCTGATAAAGGAATGGAAGGCTGTCGGTCAATTAATTCCCAGAGTCGAGTTGAAGCACCCAAACCCTTCATCATTTCGGAATAGAAAGAGCTTAGTCCCCCTAAAAGAATTATTTAATTTATTGTACATAATATTTATTTAAGAATTATTTCTATTTAAATGGTGTAATAAATAAATCAAAGACCTAATGCAACTCCAGTGTAGGCAGCATATAACAGAAACGCAGATAAGGCACCAACAGTGATGGTGTGATCGCTGACCATTGCTCCACCGTAGTAGAGAACTGATAAAATTATGAAATTTCCACTCAGTCCGGTCTAGAAAATGGGAAACCGTTCAAAAATTAGAGATGATTGAGACACTTGTTAAATTAATCTAACATAACAAATAATACAATGATACAACATAATCTTTTCTTACCATTCCGAAAAAAATTCCTTTCGCTAGCGCTTCTTTGTATGCCAGTTGCATTAATTCGGTTATTCGATTTTCATAAATTCGGTTTTCAAGCCCTTCTTGGCTAAACGCTCGAACTGTTGAGTTTAAAAATACTTATTTAAGACATCTACCATACATAGAAGTAGATAATTCACACTGAATAAACTATAGATAAAAAATATTATGTATACCTGTTCGGATATTGGATATTCTCTCCTCAGCAACCTATGTGGATTTAAAAGCAACATTTACACTAACTCGCTCGATTTGTTCTGAATTCGGGGAGAATTAAACTTCACTAACCTGAGTGGCGGTTGCTAAACTATCTTGCACTTTTTTTGTAATGTTCCTGACATATCTTCCGTACATAATCGCCATACCTGCTACTGGTGGGACAATACTTAATCCCACAATTGCCAATTTGGGGGAGACGTAGATCTATGCACATAAAAAACTATTGAGTCCGTACTAAATAGGAACCATAAGGGCAGAGCAGTATGGCATACACATTACATGTTCTACATACCATCATTCCAACACCTGCCGTTATCATAAAAGTTGAACGTAGCCCGTCCGAAATATTCATGGTGACAGATTGGCTAACTAAGGATGTGTCTGCCGATAATCTATTGATGAGCTCTCCTGTCTTGTTTTTATCAAAAAATGCTATATCTTGTTTTAGAATAGAGGAAAACACGTTGGTCCGCATTTTATTTGTGATTCTTTGGCCTGGAAAAATTAAAATGTAAAGACTTTACATACCGTACCGTACCAGACCGTAAATGTCATACACAATTAGTACATTATTACCTGACAATTGCATGAGGTATGTCCGTCCAAAATTGCATAACCCGCCAATCAAAAAAACTCCCAGCAATGCCAGGCTAACCTTTTTTAGGTTATCTTTAGTTGTTTCAGGATTATCTCCAGTATAAATTATGTCTATAACTTTTCCCAAGCAGAAGGGAATCGACATTGTGACTACACTAGATACCAGCAACAGTGTAATGGCTCCTAATAAACAGAAATTATAAAATTACTTGTAATGACTTAGTTTTTTTCTAGCACGGCTATTATAGCAGATTACCAGTTAGCGTCCATTTTTCACTCTTTGCTAAAGAGAGCAGTCGTCCAAATTCTTTTTTGGGCACGGTCTTTTTCACCAGATTTTTAGAAGCAGAAATTGTAATATTATTGTTAGATTCTACCAGCTTTAAAGCTGACGTGAATAGTTTTCTTTTTCCCACTATAAACTGCGTTAAAACGTAACCCCCTCCAGTATTATTTAATCCGCCATGAAATTTTGCATCAGCGACGTTTCTGCGATGTACGGGAACTCCGTGTTTGCCGTTCAAAAAAGCTTTAAGAGTCCATGTTGCTCTCCCCGGCGGCCCTCCACTTAAAGGCTTGGTCAATACTAAAGCTAACCTTCGGTATTGTTGTCCAATCCGAATAGGATAACCGGTCCATCTTGTCCAACTCAAATTGGACATCCACATGATTATTTATACTCCAAGACACTACAAGTCCCCTACATAAACACAACATAATTAATCATCATTATAACTGTTCGCTAATAATTTCTAAGATTCTATCACGTATTTTAATCCAAACCATTAAAAAGATAAATATGTGCCAACTTACAAGTCATTCGTTGAGATAAGCCGATAAGCAAGATCAAATCAGATTTTGATGACCATTGTACTAGGATTTTCACCCTCCTGTGAAAGACCAGCACAGAATTACATCATTCGATTTAATTTTTTGATTAACTCTTCAAAAACAACAAGTTAAACCTTTACTCAATATTAAATATTTACCCTATTTCACATTTGTACAGCTTTGCCTCTAACCGCAGACCGAGTAATTATGCGAAGGACATTAATAACAAAATCAAAATAATGGAAAGAGTAGAATGTGGTAGGAAGAGAAAGTGCAAAGTGAAGGCCGAGTGGAGAGTCGATTCGCGGGCAGATTGTGGGTGAAAGTGCTGAGATTGTGGGGCAGAGATGGAGACTATTTCTCCTCCTTGGTTGACATGTGAACGCTGCTTTCACTTTGATAACTTTGAGAAATACTTCCCTAAACGAGACAGATTTTAATTTCCTCTTGAAGATCGTGCTTTTGAAACATCGTAGATATCAGTAATCATTCTATGTACCCGTATGGTCAATTGAGAAATGGCCAAATAAATATTCATATGTATGCGCAACTGAATATGCATAAAAAACTTTTATTATAAAGTTTTGTCTAAATTTATAAAATGAATACTGTAATATAAGGTTTTATAGTCAGACGGCGGATATGTATGTTTTTATAAATTTTTCATACCTAATCAGATTAAAACTTCGTATACTGATATCCCATCTAAGTACGATCGCAAAAATTCAAACATAGTTTTCCGTATTTTACATATTTTAGGGTTTTCGTACATATACATATTTTTCTGTATATTTCGAAGTTTTAGGCCTTTTAAGATGGCCTTATAGATTTACCACGATGTCTGTCTGTCCGTCCGTCTGTGCGTCCGTCTGTGCGCACGATAACTCTCTTTAAACACAAGCTATCGACTTGAAATTTTGCACACTTCATCTTCGGGTCAAAAGTAAGGATGAGTTCGGAGATGGGCATGATCGGCCAAGTAGTTGGCCAGTGGGGGTCTTTTCCACCCAAATGTGTTGCCGTTAACTACCAAGATGATATTAATGCCATCTTAAAAGGCCCCGCAAAGTTGCTTGGAGTAGGTTTTTTATATAGAAATATTTTTCTTCATTCAGAAATTAAGGTTTCCCCAAAATTATATTTTCATGAATATAGAAGAAAATTGAAAAACATTTTTTATGTACATATTTTCAGTTTTTTTAGGCACATATTACATACATATTTTGCGGAATTTAAGTACATACATATCCACCTTTTATACTTGATTTCAATAATCAATATTACTATTGATATTATGAATAATAAAGTATACAAATTGTATAATAGATAATAATGGTTTTATTAATACTTTGTGCCTAGTTTAAATAAAATTCAATATTTTGTATTGTGAGATGTAGGCTATGGATGCATGATTGTAATCAATGTATTTACTAAATAAATAATTTTATATTTTAAATGATTGGTCAATCTACCTACAAAAACCTTGTAAGGGGCCGAATGGTGATCTGGGACGCCTACCCAAATTAATTAGAGGTTCTCCCAGCCCACCAACTCCTCTACTCCCCAACCCAACTAACAATAAGTGCAATTTATATTTTATTAATGTGTTTGTGTTAAAGTAAATATTGTCTTGTCGTAAAAATAAAACTTCGATTGTCAAAATGTAAAAAATAATATAAATGAACTACATATGTACTCACTAAATAATCATGCACATTTGCAAGCAAAATATACTTGGCCATAAAATGTTTCTCGATAGAAGTACTATCGAGAAACTGGTAGAATGTTGTTTAGGGGATATCCTCTAAAAGGCAATGGAGGAACAAGTCTCAAAAATGTACGACATGGCGGATTCCTTGTGTATTGTAGTGTAGTGATCATTTACTCACATCTCTAGAAAATTATCCACCTCACTCAACCCATCTTTTTGGTTTAGAGCAAATGTCAACTCGAGAAAACAAGATTTCTCGATAAAGAGAAAGTTTGCATATAAAGAAATGTTCATGAAGGGCCGAGGAAGTTAAAATTTGTCCATTCCCCTTGAAAAACAACCACGAGATTCACGACTTAAAGTTCAGAAAGTCTCGAGTTATGCTTGTACAAGTCGACATTTTGAAGCCAATGAGACTTTGGACGATGGGAGGCCGTGTTTCAAGGGAATCAAGAGCCAGCTAGACCAAGCAAGTTCTTTCTTCTTCTTCTTCTGCACACATTTGAGATTCTCGGCTCAAGTCCTGCGATTACATTTTGGATGACTGTGCTCGCAGCTATACTCACAGAGTAGAAAGTCAGTAGAAAGCAGCCGAGGTTATTATTGTTGGTTGCCTGTCTGGGCGGCGGTGGTGGTGTTATATAACTCTGTCGAAACTTGTGCATTTTATTCTGCGTTCTAGCTCAGTTATGCTTTTCCCCTACTGGTTCTCCCACCACGGCCGCTACTCGAGTCCATGTAACAGCCAGACAGAGAGGAGATTGCTAGTAAGTGGAAGGGTCGATATGTTGTTCATTACATAAGGAGATGACTCAAAATCATTCTCAGGTTATCACTCTTTGAAACCCAGTATGCAGCTTATGCATGCCTCCTGGATCTTTGAAGTTATGTAATTTTTAACCAAATTAAAAATTAATTGGTACTCGCAAAATTAAAGGCAAGATAAAACTTGCTTTCCTACTTGTTGGGAAACATTCAGACAAATTAGAAATACAGAATTTACTATGAATTTGAATGGCATATAAAATTCCATGTATTTTGAAATTAAAAAGTGGGCAAACTATGTACAAATGGCACTTCCACTTTCTTAATTTCCATTACAAGAGTACTGCAAATTCATGTTATCATAAATATAATAACCCCTCGGAGAATTAATTTTTAATGCTAGCAAAGATATGTGCAGTGAGATGAGTTTTGTGTACTGCTTAAAAAATGACCTTACATAATAGCAGGAAAACCTATCGTAAATGAATAAACTACGGTACAACAGGACATATCAATTTCCTGTATAGTCCGTACTATGAAACCGGAAAGGCGTAGTGGCGTCGTGACATGATAATGTTTTATGACTCCCTCATGAACGAATATAAAAACGTTAAGTAAATTCTGGTTGCTGAATTTTAAATCCCTTTTTCAATTACTTATTGTTATTACTGGAGCTAAATTGCCATGTTTGATTTATTTGGCAATGATGTTTTTCTTTAGCCTCACATTCAAATTATTGCTTTGTTCTAAAACTTTTCATATTCTACTAGAAAATGCTTTATACAAAATTTGAACTAAGCTCGAAATGAGTTTTCCCAAAGTTTGCCAAAGTGGCCACCTTTATACAACTTTGAAAGATTGGAGACTCACCCTCGTCTTGTGCATAACGTTGTCGGGGAAGAAATTTCAAATCTGGAGAATTTTGCTTTGAGTGCCAGTCAGTCAGAAAATAAATTCAGATCCGCACGAACCAAGAAACAGACATATTTCACTTTAGTGCAGTTCACTTCATCTCTCTGACTCTGCTTTCCTCGTCCACCATCACCACATCCACCACCACTCGGCAAAGTTGGTGCTAAAGAAGTCGCTCCTGCCTTGGAAGACAAATATTCTTTGCTCCTCGTGTCATCCAAGGCTCGAGGAGAAAGTCCAACTCGCACTATATCTCACGTTTCGAATCCATATGCAGCCTTCCCATTTTACTGTCTCATATTTAGTCTCGTGCACAATATATTTGCTCACTCACTCAGGCCCATGTTTCTGCTCTATAAATTACTCTCATGAACAGGAATAATTTACAAACACACAATCCTCATGTTGTTTCAATTGGGATACATGATGATGGAATCAAGTAGCATTTTGTAATTTACAGCTTCTGACAACTTGACTCGTATACAAGATTGCATTTTGTTCCTAAAGTAATCATGTGAGAGAATAAGCAGCGGGTTCATTTTACGATACAGAGTTTCATAGATTTTTGTGGGTGTTGGGGAGAGAGCGAGGAGAAAGCAGGAAGTGAAAGTGATATTACATTAAGTTCCCTGTGTATAAAAAGAAAGTGAAGCAAGCATGAAAAGGCAGGCTCGTAAGGCGAACAAAGCCAGCAATGAAAACACGAGAAACGGATTCCACATGCACTTTGCAGGCAACCTTTCCAAATTTCTCTTCCACATCATCCGTGGCATCCGAATGGAGAATTACTCGTGATATATTATTATGGAATCGAGTTGGATGGAAATGAAAATGTGTTTTTGTGCGTAGAATACATTTGAATCCCGAGTCGTAATAACCAAGTAGGAAAAACAAATTATTACGGAAATTTGTTACGGCATGTGAGTTGTAACGTCATGCCGTGTTCGGCACATTGAAACGAGAACCAATACGTTTATAAATACTTATGACACTCCTCTGACTGGACCATTTGCGGTGCTATAAATATATTTCAGCATTCACCTCTTACGGACATTTAATAACGATATGCTGTAGTCATTTAGAAGAACCCGAACAAAGGAGCAAGGGCGGGCGAAAATTTATAAATTTAGCACTTGCAGTTTATGCCACTCTCTCGGAGGGAATTATTATTAGCGACACTAATCCATTTTATTCGGGGTTTACCTGCGGTTGTATATTCAAAAAGAAAGAAGGACGGAAGAATGGAGAGACTGAGTGGGCGGAGAAAGCGAGTCGAGTGATGGCTACGTGTGTTTGCTTGGGTGTGGGAGTGATAAAACAGAGGGGAAAGTAGACAAGATGCCATGAAGAGTGAGTGAACATGAAGGCCTTTATTGCACTATCAAAGTGATACACTTTCTTCCGTGTTTTCCAAGAGGAGAAAATTCGACCGATACTGGTGAATAATTGATTTCGGTTTAACCCGACACTGTTGTATGTACGTACGTACGACCAATCCGTATATCCACGTACACCACACATACTCGATGGAGCAACATTTATTACAACCAATACTTTTTCCTACAGCTCACGAGGTGTGCATACATAGACGCAGAACTATATATAGATTTCACTATGAGCTTATTTATGGCGTGTCGGTGTCCAACGTTTCCTGCATAGTGAGCAATTTTGAGATTCTCATAGTGTTACAAATATATAAAGAATGACGGGTTAATTCAGCATTGAAAAATATTGCTCAGCTCAGCTCAAAGTTTTAGTGAAATGATTCTATGAATCTTAATCAAATTTGCAATCATTGAGATGAGATTAGAAATTTCTTGCTAATTTCTCCGAGAACCCAGATACACTTGACTAGGTTCGGAGAAAGTGAGGCGAAAAATAGAGCAAAATAGGAGCACATGTTCCTAGATGGCGCCCGGGTTGGGGACA